TACCGGTTCATATCAGGATCAGGTGTCTGTGGCTGCCATAGTCATTTTCCAACCTGGAAAACCATAGGCAGACCAGAAGGGTAAGTCTGAGGCCACCAACATATCATAACCAATGTTATGGGGGCATTTTGCCTCCAGACTTAACGTGAGATTATCCACCCCCTCACTGTGATCATTTTGACTTCCATTTTATGTATTTATAGCTTAAAAGATAAATGATAGAAAAATAAAAAGCATATGGAAGAAATCAAAGATGTCTTATGTGTATTTTACCACAATTAAAATCAGCCATATCTGTCCTAGAAGTAGGCAGTTTTCTTCCCTGAATATTTCCCTAGTCACCTGCATTGAGCACTATTTCTTATGTGAGACCTCTCTGAATTATTCAGACCAACTAGGAGCCCTTCATCCTCACTTCCACGATTGAGTCCTCAGAAATTTCAAGCCATCACGGTGTTCCTCACCAAGTATCACACTAGAGTGATTTCCTCAAAGAGTTTCCTGGCAACTGTTGCACAAACTCTATTTAGGTCTGCAACTTTGCCTGCCTACTTCTGAAGATGCTATTGACAGCCCTTTTCCTTGTCCCTATAATTTGTGTTTTTTTGTTTGTTTGTTTTGTTTTGTTTTGGAGGTACTGAGATTTGAACTCAGAGCATCATGCTTGCCAGGCAGACACTACCATTTGAGCCATTCCACCAGTCCCTATAATAGTTTTTGATCTGAAATCTGCTCTGACATTAACCTAACCACACTACCTTTCTTTTGGTTGTACCTTTTTCCATTTGTTGACTTTTAATTTACTTGTAACATGTATGTAAAGTGGGCTCCTTATAGGCAGCATATAGTTAAGTCTTGCTTTTATATGTAATTGAAGAATCTGCCTCTTTTATTTTTTCATCAACTTTCTAGTTCAGTGCTTTAAAAAGAAAATAAACGGAGCCATTCCACCCTGCTAGGGTTTGAATGTGTCCATGTGTTAGAAATTTGATCCCTAAATTCATGTTAATGTTATTTGAGATGGGGCCTTTGGGGAGGTAATTTTATTAGATGAGGGCATGAGGGTGGGGCCCTCATGATAACATTTGTGGCTTTATAAGAGGAAGAGAGCCCTTGCTCTGTGTGACCATGTGATGCTCTCTACCATGTTATGATACAGTGACTAGGTCCTCACCAGGCCAGCACCATGCTCTCCACTTCTTAGCTTCCAGAACAGAGAGCTAAATAAACCTCTATTCTTTATAAATAACCCCATCTGTGGTGCTCAATTATAGCAACAACAAACAGACTAAGACCCACCCCTTAAGACACCCCTCTTCACTGGGCACCTAGAATTTGTTTTCCTAACTCAACACTTAAAAATGATCATTCCTTACATAAATTTACATGATAGCAAGAAGACTGGAAATTTGCAGTTCCTGGCTTAGGGTATGTGATGGGGGAAGTTAGAGACAGTGAGAACTTTTGCTATAATCTTTTGGAATAGTTTAGCTAATACACAGAAGACCTAAAATTCAGTAAGTATCTTTGAATAATGTCCTTTCTAATGAAAGAAGAGGCAAAAGTTGGCTTATAGTCACCAGGATTTCTTTTTATTTGTAGACAAGTCTTAGTCACTCTTTTCCCCAAAAGTATAGAACAGTTGGGACAATTTTAGAATGTCTTACAGGGTAGGAACTTGGAGCAATTAATTCCATGTCTCCTTTTTATTTATTTATTTATTGCGGTACTGGGGTTTGAACTCAGAGCCTATGCCTTGGGCCACTCCACCAGCCCTTTCTTGTGATGGGCTTTTTCAAGATAGGGTCTCATGAACTATTTGCCCTGGGTGGCTTCGATCCACGATCCTCCTGATCTCTGCCTCCTGAGTAGCTCGTATGACAGGCGTGAGCCACCAGCACCCAGCTCACCTTATATAGTTGAGGAAAAGAAACTCAGAATAATAAAACAATACGCCTCAGGTTATGCTCCCAGCTAGCAGCGGAGCTTGGAACAGAACCCTTCCTCCAAGAACACTGGAAGACCTCTTCGTCCTAATGGTCCCATTGCATTACAATTAAAAGGAACATGTGGTAATTTCTACTCCCCATCTATGTTTTGATTTGTGATCCCATTCAGAGTTAGAGAAAAACAACAACGAAATAAAGAAAATCAGAAAAGAATAGAATGAAACACATAGGTAGCAATACACATTCCTTCACAGAAGAACTGGGAACCATAGGTAAGAACAGCACAGGAGAATTTTCAAGTAGGTGCCTGCGGGCAGGGCCATCAGCTCCATCTGGTGGCTTTTTAAGATATTGCTCCTAAGGTTAATTTTCAAACCAGCAACCATAGCTGAGGACTTGTTGGGTGAGTAGATAAAGAACAATGACCCTCCGACTTTAGTGTGCCTGAGAATTACTTGGTGAACATGTGAAAATGCGGGTTCCTGGGTATGTCCCTCCAAAAAGGCGAACAGATTGAAATGGGCCCAGTTATCTCTACATTTAGAAACTTCCCCAGGTGAGTGCAGGAAGGCTATGGACTCCATATCAGAGACACTTGAAGGCAATGAGAACTAGTGATTTTCATCCTTTGTGAGGAAAGGACTATTCCAAAGAAAGATTTGGAAGAAAATTACCAAGACTAACAAGTTAGCCGGGCCCTAGTGGCTCATGCCTGTAATCCTAAACTACTCAGGATCGCAGTTCGAAGACAGCCAGGGCAAATAGCTCGTGAGACCCTATCTGGAAAAAATACCTAACACAAAAAGGAGTGGCTCAAGGTGTAGACCCTGAGTTCAAGCCCCAGTACTGAAAAAAAAAAAAATGAGACTAACAAGTTAGCCTGCTAAAGTTTCATGAATGCTGGTAGAAGACATGAGACTCCTGGTCAGAGACAAAGGACAATTTGTTGTTAACAATGTAACAGTGGTTAAGGATGTCTTCACCAGGCTATTTCCTGAGTCTCAATAACCACAAGCCTGGGTGGTGAGGGCCATAGTAGGAGAGCTACCCTGACTTAGGAACTGGGAATCTTTGGTGATGGAGAATGAGTCTCTACATCTTTGCCTGGGGGAGACATTATTTCTGCCTTCCAAAGCTGTTTACCGACACATCCTTGAAAAGATAGTCAGAAAAAAGACAACTGCACATCTGTTCTCAAGATGTGCAGAGGCATGGTACACAACAGAAATCGGGAATGGAGGCTCATCGTGGGAAAAGTACCCCACATGGGAAGGCTGCAAAATAATCACACTAAAGGAGGAATGGGGGAGGTGGAGGTATTAGGAGCTAGCTTGATCTCAGGCAGTTAGGGATGGGGGCCATAAAAAGAGTGATTAAATTCAGCAAGTATGTTACCAGAAAAATAGTGCTGATAAATACCTCGGTTCTTAACATCCGACAGGAGAAGAATTCAAGCAAGACACAAAGATTATAAGAAAGTAATAGTAAAGTTTATCAGGAAAGGAATACAGGTGGGGGGGTGGGGGGTGTCTCCTCAAGGGAGAGAAGCATGGGTTAGGCTTCAAGGTTGGAATGTTTATCAAAAAGAGTTTTAACTTTGGGTTTATTTGGCCCTGGGATGATCTCCTAAGCTTGGGTCATTGTCTAGTTAAATGAGAGAAAGACTGCCTATGTGAACTTCCAGTTCTGCTCTAATTGATAGTCTCTGAAATTCCTAAACTCTCTTCTATCCAGTTCCCAGGTTTGGGTCATTGTCTTGGTAAATGACAGATTTACCTGTGTAAACTCTTAACACCAGATCTAGTTGAAATTTAAGATGTAAGTTACTCTTAAGAGTGGATTAAACTTAAGTAGCCAACCACACAACTGGCCCAGGACAGGGAGGAAGGTAATGATAGTTAAGGGGGAAGGGAAAGAAAAAGCACACCAAGACCCTAGAAGTTAAAAATCAGGGGCCCACCTATCAGAAAGCTGTAAGAGGGCCTTGCAAGATGTGCCCCAAAAGCACATTAAAAAAAACCTAGATAAAAGATTTTATACACACAGTTGCCACCGCTGTCTTTCCGGGGCCCTCCACAGCCTGAGGAGTTTCTGCCTTTCTTCACCATCTCTTGGACGCCTCCCTACCTCTGGGGACCTCTACTCTCCTGCTTCACACTTTTCTGTCTCAATAAACTTTCCTGCTTTACTCTTTCTGACTGTTCATGAAGTCTTGTTTCCTGAGACAAGAACCAGACAGAACTGCGACCCTCCCTCTGACTACACGCCTAAGGCAGCAAGGTCCAGTGGAGGTTCTCAGGCCTCCACAAATCTCCTGTTTTAAATTCAGCATGGACTACCTCCTCCAGCTAACTTTGCAGAAATCCTTTCATCCTTCAGTTCTTGCTATTGTCTGGTTTGGATTTTTGAAACAGGGTCTTCCTGCCTAGCCCAGGCTGGCCTTGAACTCGTCATCCTCCTGCCTCACCCTCCCAAATACTGGGATTACACTGTGCACCACCATGCCTGGTGCATCGCTCTGTTGCAGGGGGGACCTGATGTCATGACCACTTTCCATGTTTATCTCACTTTAATGCTCATTTCTCACGGAGGCAAGAGGCCGTTTTCTCATAAGGAACTCGATCAGGAGAGACTGTCATTTATTCCACCAGGGGATAAGAGCCGGCTTCCCTCACTTGTGTCCTCAAGGGTCTTTGAGAAACACTACTGGTGCTTTTTGACCCCGACTATACTTCAGTACCACAAACCTAGGATCCCAGGTTTCTCCCTCCTGGTGGGTCTGAGACTTCCGGGGAACGGTTAAGAAAGGAGTTCCAAGCAGGTTTCCAGTGATGCGTTCGCCTCACGTGGCTCGCGGCCGGATTCTTCCGCGCTAAATACGGATGGGTGGAGACTGAGGCCCGCTAGGTCCCGCTCTCTCTTCAGGGATTCGCCGCATCTACCGGAAGTGGGGCGGAGTCACCGCTCCCCTGCCTGTCGCCATTGGTCAGAGCTTCTGTCGCTCAGCGATTCGAGGCGGTGCGGAAGGGGCTGGACGTCGCAGGCCGCGAAGCCTCAAGCGGTCGGACGGGTGGGAGTGGCAGGAGCGGAAACTTGAGCGAGAGAGAGCTGTAGTGTCATGGAGCCTGCCCCCGCCGCGTCTCCCGGGCCTTCCCGCTCCTTTAAGGAGGAGCTGCTCTGCGCGGTCTGCTACGACCCGTTCCGCGACGCGGTGACGCTGCACTGCGGCCACAACTTCTGCCGCGGGTGCGTGAGCCGCTGTTGGGAGGTGCAGACGACGCCCACCTGCCCGGTGTGTAAGGACCGCGCGTCGCCCGCCGACCTGCGCACCAACCACACGCTCAACAACCTGGTGGAGAAGCTGCTGCGCGAGGAGGCCGAGGGCGCGCGCTGGACGGGCCGCCGCTCCCCGCGCCTCTGCCGCCCGCACCGCGGCCAGTTCAGCCTCTTCTGCCTGGAGGACAAGGAGCTGCTGTGTTGCTCGTGCCAGGGCGACCCCAAGCACCAGGGACACCGTGTGCAGCCCGTGAAAGACACCGCGCACGACTTTCGGGTGAGAGCCCGCCCCCCCCCCATCTCCCCGGGCGCGAGCACGCGGGGCGGCCGGAGCGCGCGCACGGGGCCGCGGTGGGAAGAGGACCCAGCTTCCGGTGGGTGTTCGGGGGTCCCTCCACCTGAGGCTCCGGGATCGGAGGAGGGAGGCTGCAAAGAGGGAGCGCGAGCTGGGGCCCCGCAGCGTTCCCAACGCCGCCCCGCCCCTTTCTGAAGGATCCGGGCCGAGCATCCTTTGTGCCGATGGCGTGTGGCCCGCATCGGGGTAACGCCCGCGAAATCTCATGCCTGGCACTCAGTTTCGAAGTGGCCTTAACGCTTGACCCAAGATACAGAGCCTTAAGATTTCGGCGAGCTGACCCCCGGGCGTGCTCAGCTGTGGGGAGAGGCCTCTGGCCCTAGCTAGTGCTGCTTTATTCTGCATCTGTTTTTAGCATCCTAATGTCTAGAGTTCCAGTGGCCTTAAATAAACCAAGGAGGAACTTACAGGACAAAAGTTAACACGGACAAGTTTTTGTTGTAAGATGGAAAGATGATCAGGAAATAAGACGTCACCTAGCTCAGAATTTTTTAGCCCTTAGAAGGAAATGTATTTTCCATTTTGATCCAGAATGCTCATACTACATATCAGCTGAAAAAGAAAGTCTTTATGAAAATGTCCACCTACCGGTACTTGAATATTGGTAGACAACCCGTGGAGAACAAGGGTTAACTGGCAGGACGCTGAGCTATTGAAAGGAGATGCCGCAAGAACCCCAAATGCCCGGCTTCTAGAACCCTCTCCTCTTTTTCTGCAGTGCCTTTATTAAGGAATGTCAAAAGTTGATTACAGGGTTGGAAATGTAGCTCAGTGGTAGAGTACTTGCCTAGCTTGCACAGGTCTCTGGGTTTGATCCCTAGCACCACCATCCCCTTTCCCCCCAAACTGATGACAGTTCTACACATATATTGCCCTTCAAGTCAGGGGCATGGTGGTGCGGCTTCAACATGCGTGTTTAAATGAATAACTTATTCTGCAACTTCATTTGACAGTGATCCACAGCAATGCTGTCTTCACACTTCTGCTGGCAGAAGTACCAGGTCCTGATTTGGGACAGCTGAAGCAAGCAGCCTCCGGACTTGAATCCAGATAGGGAACCCTGGATTCAGTTCTCACTAGTCCCCATGGTGCTGGCAGAGGCACAGATCAGGATGGGCAGGAGTTAAAGCTGAGGACAATCAGGCAGAGTCCGCATGTTAGGGCCACGCCAGGATTCAAGAGGCCAAGGTCTAGAGACAGCTTTCCACTATCAGCAGATGCCTTGTAGCTAGATAACAGTTTCCACCCTCATGGAGCTTCAGGCAAAGGCCTGGGGGATGTAGAGGTGCTAGGCATATGAAGGAGGTGAGAAAGGTGTTTCAGGCAGAGGCAGCAGCGGATGGAAGAGTCTAAAAGTAGGGAAGCCTGACTTTCCAGGTACCAGAAATTCAGAGTAGTTAAAATGGGAATAGAGATGCAGGGGAAGCTGGGAAGCTAAAGTCTTAGCCTTTATCTTCTCAAGGTTTTAGCAAAGGGGATGGCATCAAATCAGGGTTTACTCAGGGTGATGTTTGGGAGTGCAGCCTGTGTGTGCTCAGCCTGATGCAGGGTGCATCTTACTCACCAGACAAATGTACCAAGGGCTCCTGTGTGCCATGACCTGTTGAGGTTGTTGAGGTTGCCGAGGTTGCCAAGGCCATAGGACAGAGCCCCTCACTGCAGGAAGTTCAGAATTCAGAGGGAGAAGTCAGCCAACAGACAGGTGTGGTTGTTGAGAGAGAAGTGTGGGAAGCCCCCTCCCCACCCCAACCTCACTGCCAGTGAGAAGAGGCGGGGTTAGAGCCATGTGCCCTCTTGGCTCTGGGGGGTGTTGAAGGATTCTCAGAGTTAATGTGCTTTAGAAAAAAGATTACAATATGTGAAAGCTAAGCAAAAATAATAATTATATGGGTTGACACTTTTTTTTTTTTTTTTTTTTGGTGGCACTGTGATTTTAACTTGGGGCCTCACCCTTGCTAGGCAGGTGCTCTACCAGTTGAGCTACTTTACCAGCCCAGGCTGACACTTTTTAAATATTTACTCTATGCTAGATGCTCTTCAGTGCTTTTGTGTAACAAACTTAATGTTCAAAAACCTTACGAGACCATGCGTGTTAATTTTCTATTACTACTGAAATAAATTACCACAAACACTGTGATTGGAAACAGAATTATGTTGTATTACAGTGCTGAAGGTCTGAAGTCCCAAATTCAAGGTGTTGACAGGGCTACATTCCTTTTGGAGGTTCTAGAGGAAGACATATTTCCTTGCCTTCTCTAGCTTCCAGAGGCCCTTTCATCCATCTTCAAGGCGTATCATTGTGCTGTTGTCACATTGCCTTTTTTGGCTGACTCTACTGCCCTTCCTCTTACAAGGTCTCTCCTGATTGCATTGGGCTACCCAGATAATCTCCCCATTTCAAGGTCCTTAATCATCTGCAAGTCCCTTTTGCCACATAAGGCAACATGTTTAGTGTTTGAGGAATTAGAACATGGGCATCTTGTGCATCTTGAGGCAGGCACTGTTATCCCCATTTCACTGTATGATGATACGCAGTATGATGACACATAAGTCTCAGAGAAGCTAAGTAACTGGTTCAGCATCACAGAGCAAGTAGGTGTAGACCTCATCAGGAGTCTTATTCAGTCCTTTTTCTGGCCAAAGGCTGTAAGAGAGGCCTGTCTTATCCTCACTGGTATGAGGGCAAGCCAGCTGTGTGCATTCTTGGGGGTCTAGGTGGCTTTTAACCTTTGTCACTGGGCTTACAGCAGGTAGATTGAGCACCTACTATGTGCAAGGCACATTGTGTCCAGTAGGGAATAAGACAGCCCTAGACCTTGCCTTGGAATCCAGCAGACATGGCTCAGTAATCTCAGAAATAATTTTTAAGTATCAGGCTGGTGTTCCTATGAAGGATGGTATAAGGTGTGATAAGACATTGTAAGAAGATGGCCTGCTCTTGTCTGATGGGACATGGGAAGGAATTTCTAAGGAACTGATTGCACAGAGGCCCGAAAGCCCAGAGGAGAAGGTGAGGGGCGGCCAGCAGCAGTGGTGGGGCACAGGGTGGGTTGTGCAGTGTCTGGAGGACATTGTGTATGAAGAATGTGGACATCCTGGACAGACCCCACAGGACACTGAAGGGCATGGTAAGGAGCTGGGATTTTGTCCTAGTGCAGTGAGACATGATGGGAAAGACTTGATAGAATTTTAGAGCATGAATAGGTGTTTAAACCAGAGCCCTGGAAAGAATGGTAGTGCTGGCAGAGGGACCTTAGGAAGTCCTTGAGAGTATGTTTCTCACACTTGAACAAGGCACACATTCTTTTTAAGGAAAAAAGTATTCTAGTTGACATAAATATGTTATTATTTACATGCATACAAACAGCTGGTATAAATTCCTGTCACTTGTAAGCATAAAATGAAAATAATGACAGATAAATCCAAGCAAAACTAAAATCAATGCAATTCCAGATAAAATATTAATTGCACGGTTTCATTTTGCTGAAATTTAATCTCTGCTCTTGGCAGAAATCTTTTTGATTAATTTTCCCTTTACTTTGTTCTAAGTGATGTCTTGATTTGCCAACCAGTTTCCCTATTTGATGAGCTTTGCAACTCAGGTGACAAGCCTGGCCTGCATTTGACTCCAGTACCAGCTTTACTATCCTTTGCCTATATTTCTCTTTTCTCCTTGTTGGACCAAGGCCATGAAAATAGTATAGTCTGATGTCCAGTAAGTCATCTATATTATATACCTGCTGACACTGAACTTGTGGGAACTGAAAGCATGTGTCAACATTGTTTATAAGATGAATAGAATAGCTTTATCTTAATGTCATCACTCAGTAACAACACTCCTAGACCAGTTGCAAATCCCCAAAATACATAGATGCAGAGCAACTGGTGGCTGAGTGGAGAAAATATCTATGTTTTACTAATGAGAAGGTGGAAACTTGGAGAAATACAGCCACTCATTGAAGAAGAAATAGAACCATTCATTGGAAGTGAAAGAGGTGTTAGAATTCAGGTTTTCTGACTCCCAGTCAGTGGTCTCTGGCTTGCACGATCAGCAGACTTTTCTGACCCCCTGGCTTTTGAACTGCCTTATCTAGACCCCGCTTTTTATTTTTTATCTGTCCCACAGGAGTTGTTTAAAGGCTATTCCGGCCTCCCAGCCTCTTTCTACTCTAGCCCCAATCCCTCCCTCCCCTGCTGGTCTCACCTTAAAAGAATCAGTCTTCTAAGTGGTGAATTCCACCTAAGAGTATTCCAGTTAACCTCTTAAACCACGTTCAAAAGCCTCTGCACACTGAGGTTTTCGAATATGGTTTGTCCTCTCCAAAAACTCATGTTAAAGTTTAATCCCCATTGTGAGGTATTAAGAGAGTAGAAATATAATCTGACTATGGTGTTTAGAGGTGGGGCCTGTAGGAGATAATGAGGATTAAATGAGGTTATCTTCCCCCATATTCAATCTGGGTGGCTTTAAAAGAGGGATAGAGAGACCAGGACTCACAGATACTCTGTCTTATGCCGTGTGATTCCCTGAGCCACCTTGGGACTCTGCCAGCAAGAAGGCTGTCACCAGACGTAGCCCCTCAACCTTGCACCACAACTATGAACCAAAATAAACCCGTTTTCCTATAACTTACCCAGTCTGTGGTATTGTGTTATCAGAAAATGAACCCTTCCAGTTTCTTCCCTTCAGCTTCTAAGCCAGTCTGTAAAGATCCCAGTTGAAACAGAGCACATTTATTGCCTGCTTTTCAAGGCCTGTGCCCAGGCGGGAGGGAGTCTCACCGAGCTCCTTAGGGACTGGGCCCCAGCATTAGGCACTGTGGTCGATACCTGCTTCATGGTGAGTCTGTACAACAAATGGAAAGAAAGATTTGGAAACCAAATTGGAGTTAGGTAAGGATGGGGAGTGTCCACACAACTTGGTTCTGCTGTATATTAGTGCTGTGCCTCTGCCCTCTGCACTTCACATTTCATCTATAAAATGTATAACATGGGCTAATAATATACTTACCTGATAAGGATAATGTGATGATTAAATGACATGATTTGCTAAGTAATCAGCATAGACCATGGTACGTTGTAAGTGCTCAGTAAGTGGTGCTTAATTACATTAATTACATTAGTAATTAATATCACTAAAGTTGTTACTGTGTTTTCAAACCAAAACCTTGGAAGGCTTTCTGACTTTATGAGAATATAGGGAGGAAAGGATAAAGATGGAGAGAGAATGATAGGCCTTGGATGTAAAACTCAGTGATACTTCTTTCTTTCCTTTTGGTTTTTTGAGTCAGGGTCTCACTATGTAGCTCAGGCTGGCCTCAAACTCTCCATCCTCCTGCCTCTGCCTCCTAAGTGCTAGGATTACAGGTGTTTGCTACCATACCTGGCTCATAATGGTTTTTAAGGGAGTCCATGGAGGTCAGAAACAATAGTTAAAATTTGAAAAACAAAAACTATTCAACAACTACAACAACAAAAAAGTTGAATTTGTCAAAGTATTTCACCTGATCCAAGCACTATTAACCTGTCAGGAGAAGTTGGGGGTGTGATCAGATGTGTTTAGATAGGACCTCACGTGAATAACTTCACCCCGTGGGAGGTAACTGGACCCCTGCCCCTGTTGTCAGACCAGTCCAGTGCAGATGGCAAAGGAAGTCCACTGTCTTTACAGTTATCCTGGCAGCTCTGGGATTCCAGGACCAGTGTGGACTAGCCATAGGCTTAGCAGTATAACCTCTTCTATATTATGACCAGCTCAAAAGAAATCAGGCCCCTTTACTTTCTCAGCTCCGTCTCCCTCTGTGCACCAAGCATAGATGAGGGCTGGGCTAGAAGACCTCCAGAATTCCTTTATGTTATAAATGTGCAGTTCAAGGTCAAGACTAAGTCATTCAGCTGTGCCTGAAGTGCTTGGCACAAACCAGGCTCAGTAATGCAGTTGTTACCCTCACGGTAAGGTGGGATTCCAGTTATAAATGTGATGTGTTTGTCCTGGCTGTCTGGCCTCCATCCCTAACTTGCTTCCCTGCTTCGTCTCATTCCCTGTGTCAGGCCAAGTGTAAGAACATGGAGCACGCGCTGCGGGAGAAAGCCAAGGCCTTCTGGACTGTGCGGCGCTCCTATGAAGCCATTGCTAAGCACAATCAGGTGAGTGAGTGCTGGTCCGAATGGAGAGTCCAGGACGTGGCAGGTGGTTGGGAGTAATAAAGTGACAGAGGGTTGGCCCAGACTTGGGCTAAAATGATCCCTAGGTAACTGCAAACTCAGCACTGATTGTTTCTTGTATACCCAGCCAGCAACCAAGGCCACTCTGCTTCTCTGAAGCCCTTGGTGTGGCCAGCCACAGACTTGGCCTAAGAAGCCACTTAAGCCATCTGTACTGTAATTTAAGGGTAACTTCAGCACATGCCACACATCACCATCTACTGGTGTTCAAACCATTGTGACCTGGGCTCCTTAGGGGTTCCTCCATGGCAGTCCCGTTCCTCATCTCCACAGTACGCCATGTCTGTCATGTGCTCCAGCTGTGCCTCTCACCTGCTTTCCATCTGCTTCTGCTGTTCTCTGTTCCACTGCCCATGTGCTACACTGATCTTTTGGAAAACAAATCAGCCATACACTGCCCAGTGGCATCCTGTCCCCTTGAGAACAAATTCAGACTCCCACAGACTCTGAAGCTGTCCTCTGGTCCCTCCTGCCCTTCAGCTGTATCTCCGGCTGCTTGACCTGGCACTCTCTGCTCTGGCTGTCTGCCCTTTCTGTTCTTTAAATGGCCAGGTCACCCTTGGACCTGTGCTCAGCATCTTTGCCGTTAAAATCTCAGCTTATGTGTCCTGGCAGGCTTTCCCTGATACCCATTTTACTCAGGGTCATATCGCCCTTGTTTATTTTTTCCAAAATGCTTTATTACCTGTAATTACCTTTTTGTTTTCTACATTTTACCTCTTCCCGTGCATATAAAAGAAGGCAGCATGTCATTCCCGATATTTGAAGTTCTGGGCACATGGTAAGTGACCAGTGATGAGCTTGTAGCTTGGGGTCAAGCTCCATGGCCAGGTGTTCAGGAGTCTCTTTACCAAGCCCAGCCCTTTCCCTTGGACACACATGTTGGAGGGCATTTCCCAGTGTTAAGGCTGGCTGGTATGTCTCAGCTGTGGCTAGGATGAGTACAGTGAGTGGTAATATCTAAAAGCAGTCACATCAGGAGGTGACAGACCAGAACCAGGATGAACTGTAAGAAATCATGTTGCCACAAGCTGAAGGAACAGAGCAGGGAAGGACTGTGCATTGTGGGTTCCAGGGCACTAACCCCATAGCAGATGTACTTTCAAACGCAAACCGAGATCTCCAGGCAAGTCCCTCAATTCACACCAAACTAGTCCCCACAATATGGTTCTTGGTTAAGCACTCAGATAAGGTAATAGTAGAAGTGCTCTTCAGAGAGAATCCATTCAGCATTTCTGATGTCTTAGAAACCAACAAATTGACTAAAAGTTTGTACCTTTTCAGGGAGTTATTTTGTCATATGTCAGAACCATAAACATAGACTGAGATCCTAATCCAAAAATGGTATTGCCACCCTGCCATTGCTGGAAAACACCTGTCCAGTTGTTTTCTCATCATTGTCATGGAGTCATGGAGCCTCATTGATGACTCTTATCTTGATTTCCTTTTGTGTTCAAAGCCAACTCAAGTAGCTTGCAATGGGCAAGACTGGACTGGGTGTACTTGGGGGTGGGGTCCATCTGTCTGCTAATCATCCTGGGAAGTGAAGGACTCAGGTTTTTTGTGGCAGCTAAGAGAAATGTGGTCAGGTGTGCAGCCTCTTAGAATTCCAGCTTGATCAATGCTTTTCCTGTGAAATTCCATGAACCCAAGTCAATGAGCAAAGTGTACATCTCAAGGTACCTTAGCACTTTCAGATTTTTCATGCCTTGCTCTGTTCTTTTTCATCCTGTATGATAAGGGTCATCAATATTGTACTCTCTCCACCTGTATTTTATCAGTCCTTTTAGCCTGAGTGTTGAACAGTGCTGTCTGTGCTCACTTACATTTTTTTGATTATTGGTAAGTTGTACATCTTTACTCTGTATAAATCTCTTCTGTGAATGCCAGTTTGTGTCCTTTTTTGTTGTTGGAATATTTGTCTTTTCTTCTAGTGGATTTGTAAGAGTGCTTTGTACATTAAGACTAGTAATAATCCATCAAATATGTTGCAAGTATTTTTCCTAGGTTGTCATTTCTTTTTTTAGTGAATCATTTTGTTATCTTTTCTGCACCATACATGTTTCACTGAATTTGCAATCTCAAAATGAGATTACAACCTGCTGTAGTTAGATCATACATTTTAAGTTGTTTTTCCAGTAGTCATCTTAGAACTATGTGTATGTGTTCAGCTGTATTAATAGTCTTGCCATCCACATCTCTTTTGTACATAATTCAGTTATCTCATTCCTTCTCTGAGCCTTCTCAGTTTCATATTATGCTAAGAAATATCTTCATCGTTCCAAGGTGAAAAATACTTTCTTGCTTTTTCTCCTAAGTATTTGTGTGGTTTTTGGCTTCATTCCTTTAATGCTTTTTGTGGTTATGATTTGGAGTGTGGATAGTACTAATGATTGAGTTTTAAAATAAATACTTCCTACTCTAAATAGTAGGAAGCCTCTCAATTAGACACAGTTAAGGTCCTAAGATTCAAAGGCAAATAACTTCTAAGAGTTGTTGCTAGTTACAGTACTTCATTTCAGTGACTCAGGATTTCATTTGCTACTGTGGATCCAAATAAGATGCAGAACATTATAGGCGGAGGGGGTTATAGGACAGAGCTTGTTGGCTATAAGCTGCAATTTCATTTTTAAAAATTCCTGTTTCCTGTTTGTGATTGGAATTTGAACTTGTCAACTTATGCAAATCTAATGTTACAACGATGTTTTACCTCTGGGGGGTTTCACCTGTAAATGCAGAATTGCTTTGCTGACAGTCTGAAAGTCACTGGCTGACTATTTGGGGGATGACCACGGCTCACACATCTGACTTTGTCTACTCCTTTCTGCTTTCTGCTGCAGGTGGAGGCTGCCTGGCTGGAAGCCCGCATCCGGCAGGAGTTCGACAAGCTTCGAGAGTTCCTGAGAGTAGAGGAGCGGGCCACTCTGGATGCCATGGCCGAGGAGAGCAGGCAGAAGCAGCTGCTGGTTGATGAGAAGATGAAGCATCTTGCAGAAGAGACTGAGGCGCTGGCCCGCGAGATTGAGCGGCTGCAGATGGAGATGAAGGAAGATGATGTTTCCTTTCTCATGGTAAATGACCTGGCATCTGTGTTCAGGATGGGGTCAAAGGTTTAGTGACCAGCTTGGGAGCCACAGGCCACCAGCTCTGGCCAGCCCAGTCATCTTGTGGCTTCCAGCAACTGGCCTCAAGGAGCTCATATTGATGAGGTTTGTGTCAGAAGCCAGGAAGACCATTAGCACAGTCTCAGGAATCTCTTAGAGAATCTTTCAAAATTACTCAATTATTACTTGAAGTTTTAATTTAAATATGTGTTGGTGTTCTTTCTCTCTCCTTCTGGGTGCTGGAGGTTGAACCTGTGCGTGTTAGGAAAGTGCTCTACCACTGAGCCACATAACCAGCCCTTCTCTTTTCTTGAAAGGATGATTCTGTTCTCTTAAAAAAATAAGAGTGAGTCGATTTTTTTTTCCTTCATTTTATTAATTTAGCCATTGGTTCTTACAGAGAAGTAACTTGAAAGCTAGTTTATAAATCAGTCAAGGTGGTGAGGTCCTACCTCCTCTAACCACAGAACAGCTGAACTCTCTGTAAAAGGGAGTCTTTGCACAGTGAAGTGGAAAGGGACAGGGAAGTCACTGTGTTTAAATAGGGTGTCCCCTCCTGGCTAGGACCTTGATGAGTTGTCTGCCTTGACACATGATACCTCCTGTCGCCAAAAGGCAGGAGATCACAAAAGCTCTTGATGGCTTCTCAGGGATGGGTTCCTTGCTGATTCTGTTTAGTATCCAGTGTACTTTCAGGAGTGATTTTCATTGGTGACAGCTTTTTATTCTTTTGTTCGTTTATTTATGAAATAACAGCTTTATCGGGGTATAATTTATACAGTGTTTCATACAGTTCACTATTTTCTTTTAAATTTAGTTGTTTTAAAAGGTGGAGTCTCGCTATGTTGCCCAGGCTGGCCTCAAACTCATGGGCTCAGGGGTCCTTCTGCCTCAGCCTCCCAAGTGACTGGAGCTTTAGACACCTGGCTTAGTTTGACCATTTAACATGTGCAGTTCAGTGATTTTCAGCATCGCAGAGTGTGCAACCCCCACAGCCACCTGTTCTAGAACGTTCCACCAACCCTGCAGCACTCACCTCTCAAGCCCTCCTCCCCAGACCCCTGACACCCTTCAGTCATTCTGTCTAGATTTGCTTGATCTAGACATTTTAAATAAATGCAGTTGTATAGCATGTAGCCTTTTATTTCTTTCAAAATTCAATGCGGAGTTTTGAAACTTCATGTTGGGGCATCTGTCAGTACTTCTTTCCTTTTATGACCGAATAATTTTGATTTCTAACAACTTTGACTTCTCCACATTCTTGCCAACTCTTTTGTCTTTTTTTTCTTTTTTCTTTTTAGCAGCTGTCCTGTTGAGTGTGAAGCGGTACTCCTTGGGGTTTAGATTTTGCGTTTCTCTAATGGCTAATGACATTTAAGCTTTTCCTCATGTACTTTATTGGCCATTGTAGATCTCCCTTGGAGAAATTGTAAGAGTTCTTTATATTCTAGATAGAAATTTTTTTTTGGTTTTAGCTCTACATTTGGGTCTTTGATCTATTTTGAGTTAATTTATCTAGCATAAAGTCAGGTTCTGTTTTTTTTCTGGTGGTGTCAGTATCTAGTTTTATCAACATTTGCTGGAAAGACTGTTCCCCACAAATGATACTGGCCTGCTTGTAGGTAATCAGCTGGAAAAAAGGTGAGGGTTTATTTTTGGACTTTTCAGTTCTGTTCTGCTGATCTGTATGTCTGTTCTCATATTAATACCACACTGTTCTTCATTACTCCTGTTTTGCAGCAAGGTTTGAAATTGGAGAGTGTGAGTCTTATAGCTTTGTTGTTTTTGAAGATTATTTTGACTATTCTGGATTCCTTAAATTATATCAGTTTTAAAATCAGTTTTTCAGTTTCCTCAAAGAATGTGCCTGGATTTATTTATTTATTTATTTATCTATTGCTGGGAACTGAACCCAGGCCTCACATGCTGGGCAAGTGCTCTACCCCTGAGCTCTAAGCACCTGGGATTTTGATAGGAATTCATCTAAATCTGTAGGTATACTTGGGCAGTATTGACATAGTAATAGTATCAAGTCTTCTGATCCACGAACATGAGATGCATGACTCTTGAATTTGGAAACACGTACTTTCTCTGAGTCTGTGTCTCTGTTTTTTTTCTTTCAGAAACACAAGAGCCGGAAACGCCGGTAAGTGGCCAAGTCTGGTGGAGGGGTGGGGAAGAGCAGGCAGAGCAACCAGGGGTACACGATCCAGTGGCTCCAGGGCCAGGCAGGTATGCAGCCAGCAGGGTAGAGTCCAGTCAGTGGCAGGGACTGGCCAGGTGGAAAGAGCTCTCTTTTGAGGTATTCCAGTTCTGGTTGGCATTGGGACAGAGTTGTCTTTCCGATTGTGGAGAGTCATTACCCACCATACAGAGAGGGAGAGCACTATGCATGCAGCTCATGTTTCTCAGTGGCCGTTCTTGACTGGCCTCCTTCCTCTGAGAGCCCCAGGACACACTGCTGAGGGCTGATGGCTGTTTGTTTTCTGGGATGAATAAAGAACTGTGTCCCTATGTGAGCTGTCCAAAGATGGAAGAGAGTGCTTTGGGTGGTAGTGGGTTCCCTGTCACTGGCGGTGCTCAAGCAGAGGCTTTAGGACACCTTGGCTTGGTTGGACTTGAGTATTGTTAAGGACCCCCCAACTCAAGACATCTCATGAGCAGATGTGTAAGCATGATTTCTGTCCACAAGGATGGCAGCCGTGTTGGAGAAGCTCCTAATTGTATCTCCCAGAAGGGCGGGAGGAGCCCTGCTACTGCATGCTGAAGGGGTGTGTCAATCCAGTTGGTTCCTGGCCCAATCCAGGTTTGTCTTGGGGAAGGAGGCCAGGAAACTTAGGCCTGAGGCAAGGGACCAAGTCCTGTCGCCTGTTTCCAGTTAACCCACGTCAGCCGGGATGCCTGGCCCCAGCCCCGCCCACCATGCCCAGTCCTCCTTTCCCAGGCTCTTCTCCACGGTGGAGCCGGAGCCCATCCAGTCTGGCATGCTTATCGATGTCTGCAAGTACCTGGACTCCCTGCGGTATCGCGTCTGGAAGAAGATGATTGCTTCTATCGAATGTGGTGAGTGGGGGGTGCAGGCATGTGCTCTGGGTGTGGGGGGAGCACTTCAAACTAACAGAGCCAGCTGAACATGCCTCTGCCAGGACCACCTCATCTCTCAGCTGGTGTCCTTCCAGCATCTCCCAGGCAGGCCCTGAGTCCTGGTCTTCCCCCTTCTTGTCCAATAGCTGCAGTCCTTCCTGATTTGGGAGCTTTCCTGTTAGGGTCCTGACTTTACCCCCACTTTACAAAGACAACACTGTCCTCTGTATTTAGAACTCTTCACGTGTATGATGGGAGACTCCTTGCTCCAGGGTCACTTCCCCCAAAGTGACTCCAGCCTACACCTGCCATTGTGCCCTACTTTTACAAGGAGAAATGTCAGTCACCCAGGGGAATGTTACATGCTTCTCTAAGAAGTCCTGGGGTTGTGTAAACATTACTAGTCCCTGTCTCTATTAGTGTCCTGTGGCTGCTATAGCAAAAGACCACAAACTGGCGGACTTAAAATGACAAGTTTATTCTCTCACAGTTTTGGAGGCTAGCAGTCCACCATTAAGGTGTGGGCAGGGCTGTATCCTTCTGAGACGTGGGAAGGACCCTCCTCATTTGTCCCTAGTTTCTGGGGTGTTCCCTGGTGGTGTTTGGCGGTCCTTGGCTTATGGCAACAGCACTTTGACCTCTGCCCCCATTTTCACATAGATTCTCCCTCCTGTGTCTGCCTCTTTTCTTTATAAGGACATAGTCACATTGGATTCAAAGCCCACCCTACTCTGCTCTGAGCTCAGCTTTACTAATTACATTTGCAATGACCCCATTCCCAAGTAAGATCACAGGCTGAGGTACCTGTGGACTTCCACATATCTTTTGGGGGGACACAGTTCAGCCTATAATCACCCATCAGCTCAGGGCAGCTCCCTGTATGCACTGCAGGAGGTGGGACAGAGCAGATCAATTTGGGGCACTGGAGATGTAAGCTTGCCTGGCAGGGGGTAGAGTGGCAGGTTTGCTGACTGTCTCCTGTCTTCTCCATCTGCCCATAGTGCCCTTCAGTTTCGATCCCAGCACTGCGGCCGGCTGGCTCTCGGTGGCTGACAGCCTTACAAGTGTCACCAACCATGGCTACCGTGTACAGGTGGAGAACCCAGAGCGCTTCTCCTCAGCACCCTGCCTGCTGGGCTCCCGTGTCTTCTCGCAGGGCTCCCACGTCTGGGAGGTGGCCACGGGTGGGCTGCAGAGCTGGCGGGTGGGTGTGGTACGGGTGCAGTCGGAGGCTGGTGGAGAAGGCCATGCGCTCAGCTGCTACCATGACTCGCGCTCGGGCTTCTGGTACGTGTGCCGCACTCAGGGTGTGGATGCAGACCACTGTGCCACCTCGGACCCAGCCATAGCGCCTCTGCCAGTGGCCATGCCACGCCGGCTGCGCGTGGAGCTCGAGTGCGAAGAGGGTGAGCTGTCTTTCTACGATGCCGAGCGCCACTGCCATCTGTACACCTTCCATGCCCGCTTTGGGGAGGTGCGGCCCTATTTCTACATAGGGGGCACGCGGGGAGATGGGTCCCCTGAGCCTTTGCGCATCTGCCCCCTGCGCATCACCATCAAGGAAGAGCTGGACAGCTGAGCTGCCCCGAGCCTGCAGGACTGATGTACTGCGGGCCTGCTCTCTTCCTGAAGCCTGCAGTGGCCTGGGTACCTCTGCCCCCGCCCTTCTGGCAGCATACTCTACCCTTCTGTCTTACCCTTTCCATGACTCCAGCTCTATGCCTCTAGCTTCACTTTTGGTTTTTCCTCTGCCCACAGTTAAAAGGCCATTCAGTGGGCACCTTGATGGGCCCAGGCTCCACCCATAGTTGTAGCACTTTCAGGGTGGGAATGTTCTGAATCCTCATCCAGGATTGCTGGAGGTATTTGCTTCTAGAGCAAGTCTGTTTTAAACCGTAGGTTTTATTTCTAGGTCTGATGAGGCCAACCAATTAGGAGATGACTGTTGTTGGAAAGGTAGTTTGTCACTCACAGATCCAGGAGGAAGAGGCATGTCGTGCCCCAAAGGGAAGCACTAGGATGCGAAGAGAAAGCTTCAGCAGAGCCTTCGTTGTGGCTCTCTTGGGGAAGGATGGTGGGGCAGGCTAGGCAGGTGGATAGGTGCAGGACTGGCTAGACTGAACAGTTGCTGTGGTTTCTGGGGCCCAGAAACTGTAACAGCTGTGGGATGATTACGATGGTAATATTAGCCTGGCCATGGAGTCCTATGACAGAGCCACATGCAGGAGGCGCTGGAAGTACAGCTGGATCTCACAGGAGAGGCAGCTGCCAGGCTGTGCTGTCTCCAGGGACCGGACAGTCTGTACCATTGAGGTTCCACATGCCAGTGGATCAGGAAACAGTAAATGAGGAAACAGTTAATTTAGGGCCACTGTGGCTTCCAGACAGGATGCAGGGCTCAGTTGTCTCTATGTTACTACTTTTAAACTGCTGCACAGATCTCCCTATGGGTCCTGCAGGATGGGAAGCAAAGCAGTCCATCCCCATGGGTCAGTGCCAGTCAGTCTATTTATACTTAAACAGTTTCCTCTCAGTTGAGAGTTACGAAGCACTTAGAAACAAACTTTTAAATTGTTTTAAGAAGTCTTAAAGTTTTGAGAGGTTGGTGGAGTGTCTCAAGTGGTAGAATGCCTTCCTGGCAAGTGTGAGGCCCTGAGTTCAAACTCTAGTACCACAAACAAAAAAGTGTTTTTTTTGTGGGGGAGGCTGTTCCCTCTCTGGGCCTCAGTTTCCTCATCTGTAAATGAGATAGTAGAATCGGAAGGTAGTGTCCTTTCATAACTGCTGGGCAGAAAATTCCTCTGATTGGTTCTCATTAAAGTACGGGAAGGAAAGGATGGCAGGAGACTTTTCAGTTAGGCAAAGAGGGAAGGGCATGGTATGAGGGTGTGGCCTTCGGCAGTGACCTGAGACCATGGGAATAGAAGGGGAAGGCCTTGCTGCCCTGGTCTTCACTGCCCCACCTGCTTGTTGGTGTTCTGTCCTCCTGTGGGGTTCCATCCTGACTCTTCCCTCCGTTGTCTACCTCCACCTGCTCTTTCTCACACCTGCAGGTGGTTTTGATCTGCAGCACATATGTCCCAGGTACAGCAGTGTAGGGAAATGTCCTAGGGTCCTTGTTCTAAGAGGGCATGTTTCTGACCACCTACTTCATGCCTGTGTCCCCCACCTTACAAAAAACTGACTCTTGAAACAAATTATATGACTTGTGCCTCTTAATTGGTTATGAATGCATTGTGCACATTGGTTATGTAATAGGTGGGGCCACAGGAGGGACCAGGTAGAAAATGCCAGTGCAGCATGGGTTTAGGGTGGGTGTGGGGATGCTGTAAGTAAGCCGTGAGTGTCAGATGCTCAAAGCACTTTGGGAGCCAACAGGTTCAAGAGTTTATGCCCTTTGCTGTAAGGTATTTAGTTCACCAATAGTTTTTGTCCAGTAAATGACCTGAAATTATTTTGTTTGTTGTAATAAACTTTTTAAGATGTTTGTTTTTGCCTTAGATGCTGTTTGTTTTTAGACAGAATAATTTGAGTAACCCAGGCTTCTTTCAAAAAAATAAAAATGACCCATTTATTTTATTGTATTTCTTTCAGTGTTCAGTAAGCAAATGTTCATGTTTTTGAATGTTCTTAACTTCACCCTTTTTTGTTGTGTTATTTTATTGTGTGTAATGAGTATACTACATTTTATTTGTCAGTTGATGGACATTAGCTTATTTCTACCTTTTTGGCTATTATGCATGATAATGAATACTTGTGTACAAGTTTTTGTGGACATGGTTTTAATTCTCCTTGGTGTGTACCTAGAAGAGAATGTTCTAGATTGTATGGTAACTGGAACCCTTTAAGGAGCTGCCAACCTGTTTTCCACAGCAGCTGTACCATTTTATATTCCCACTAGTAGTGTTTGAGTGTTCTGATTGTGCCAACACTTTTATTAGCTGTGTTCTAATTTAACCATCCTAGTATAGATGAAGCGGCATCTCATTGTGGCTTTGATTGTTGCATTTCCTTGATGGCTGATGTTTGAGCATTTGTTGGGCCGGGGATGTAGCTCAGTGGTTGAGTGCTTGCCTACGCTTATGCTTAAGGCCCTGGGTTCCATCCCCAGGCCAGCCCCCACCCCCCAAAAAAAATCTTTTCATGTGTTCACTGGTCATTATATAATATCTGCTTAGAAGACTTCAGGGCCTTTGCCCATTTCTTAATTGAGTTATTTGTCATTTTACTGAGTTGTGAGAGTTTTTTATTATTCTAGATATAAATCCCTCTATCAGATGTGACTTACAACACTACCCATTCTATAAGTTGTCTTTTACTTTCTTGATGTTAAAAGTTTTTCATTGTGATGATGTCCAGTTTAGTTTTTTCCTTTTGTTGCCTGCATATTCTAGTATTCTTACTTTGAACACTGTCCTTAAGCTCAATTATCTCAAGTTCTGGGTTTTGGCAGGTGTGACACAGTTGTCCTATGAACAGGAAGTCCTGGTCCAGGAGTTTGGCAATCCTTCCCCACCTGTGTGTTCCACTCTTGGCCCCTTCTTCTTCCCTCATTACTGCACCCAGGCCAAAGGCAGTAGCTCACCAGGATGCCTCCTGTTGCCAGTTTCCTTCCTTCCTCATCCTGGGTGCTGATGCTAGGTGTGACATTCTTAAGTCTCCCTGGTCACCCCAAGGGGTCCCACTCCTGGCCTGCCTGTGTGACCTCCACTGTGGCCTGTGGAGCTCAGCATTACCTGGCTCTGCCTTTGTGCCTGGGGTTTCCTGACTCCTGTCACACCACTCCAGCCAGACCGGATCTCGTGATCCTCAGACTTGCCTGGTGCACTCCAGGCCATTTTCCTGACATTGTCCTGCCTGTACTCAGTCAGTCTATTCTGATTCCATCAATTCTTCCTCCTGCCAGCTGAGGTGCTTGGGCACCTCCTTCCCCGCTGGAAGCCATGGGGATTGTCCCATTTGCTCAAGGTGTGGTGTCACATTCAGAGCCTTTCAGATCCAAGCCTGGCAGTGCACTCATAAGTACCACATGACAGGAGAGTCCCTCATTACCCTGGCTCGATGACCCTCCTTGACCACCATTTATTACTTGGTCAGACTTCAGCACACAATGGTGATTCTCTTTGCTCTTGATTCTGGAGGGTGAAATTTCAACAGAATGTGATCATTGATTAAATGTCAGAATAGTGAAGGTCTTTTGTGACTCATGTGGCTAGCAATGGGACAGGCCAGGAATTTCCCCAGCACCCTAAAGACACTGGAATACAGTCTCCTGCAGTAGGCTCTGGCTTCCTTTGCCTTCATTGTCTTCATGGATCCAGCCTGGAGCTCCTGAACTCCAATACTTGCTCATCCTCCTGGAACAGCACTTGGTGGTCCTCTCTATGTGGAGATGTGTGAATGCAGAAGCCACATAACATCGTCATCTTTCTGGTCCTAGATTCAGGGATATCACTGGACCTTAAGTAGATGGTTACTGAGTACAGTCAAGTACCACAAAAGGGTAGTTCCATCAACAATAGACCACATGTACAAAGGAGATCCCATAAGATTGTAATGGGGCTGAAAAGCTCATACCTGGTATTTTCACTGTACCTTTTCTATGTTTAGATCCACAAATGCTGTGTTATAATTGCCTACAGTATCAGTACAATAATGGGTACTACAGGTGTGCAGCCTAGTGTGCAGCAGGCTGGCATCTAGGTTTGTGTAAATTGCTCCAGGATGGTCATTTGATGAAATTGCCTAAAGACACAGTTCTCAGAATGTGTCACTGCCACGGAGCAATGCGTGACGAGTTGGAGGTTGGACAGGAAAACCTGAATGCTCCACAAAACCTGAAATCCAGGTCGCTGAATCCAGACACCAGCCCTGCGATGATCCCTGGGCCTTTTGACCATGTGCTCCCATAAGGAGAGGGGGGTGGCAGTATCTACCCCAGGCTGCTGCGGGGGACAGTGAGGCAGGTTTTGGAGAAAATGCCTGGATGCTGTCCTAAACCTAGTATAGACTTACTATATGTTGGTTAATTTGAAATTATGATTCACAATAATGACGAATCTCAAAAATGAGAAGTTGAGAAACATTACATTGGGGGTGCTTACATGTATATGTAAAACTTCATGAAAAAATTTCAGGAACATGAGGAAATAGTTATGTTGCAATAACAAAAATAGGTTTCAAGGTTAAATGTACAGACTAACATATAAAAAGACAGCAGGAGCTTGTCTCTAATTTGTACATTTGATTACATAATCTGCTTAAGTGGCTGTAAAATGCCAAAAGTACAAAATGAACTAGAACAATCTCACTCTTAGGCACACTCAGCTCCCGTCCTTATAAGCAATACATGTTACCAGTTTTCTTTATATTCATTCCAGAGATTTTTGTACATAGCACAAACTCTGCCATGAATATATTCTGTCTCCCACCCCAAAGTAATTTAAGAGCAAACAGTCCTGCTCTGTATCCCTAAGCAACCCTTCCGAGAGAAGAAATTTCAAAAGATGCTATTAAAATAATTTTCTGTCCTCACAGGGGATGTTTGTCTTGGATGCTTTCATGCAATCAGTTCCATTGGTGGATTTCAATTTCTGTTTAAATATTTCACCGTAGGGTTTTAAAGAAAAGGCCTAAGTAGAAACTTCAACCTGAGACTTCAGGACACATTTAAAAAACCTTAAGTTTCACAAAGGCATCTAGTGGTTAAGAGGCTGAGATTGGGAGGATCATGGTTTGAGGCTACCCTTGGCAAGTAGTTCATGAGCTCCCATCTCCAAAATAACCAGAGCGAAGTGGACTGGGGGTGTGGCTTGAGTGGTAGAGCACCTGCTTTGCAAGCCTGAAACCCTTAGTTCAAACCCTGATCCCACAAAAAAAAAAAAAAAAAAAAACTGGTGTGGTACCAGAGGCTTTGTCTTGGGTTTTGAGCATGAAAGAAAAAGAACACTGAAAGTCATAGGAAAGGAAGTTGTGTAGCAGAGCAGATCTTGGAGAAATTATTCATAAAATTAGTAATCGGATCATGCACATTAAAGTGGTGGTGT